ATTTTTATCAATAATATGAAGTGTGTTAGAGTTTAAAAAGTTTTCAAGTGCCGATTATTGTAGATTCATAACTTATAAGAAATTTACAATTATAGCACTTCATGCTTTAAAGGTWTTTTGGTACGCAATTCGTGTGCAACCATTTGTACTTATGTTTGAAAATTTTTTTAAACATTTTTACGATTTTAAGGTATCCAACTATTTTTTTTAAAAGACTAAATATATAATACAGATGTATATACTTTAAATAGGAACACATCTAAAAAAAAATATAAGAATATTTAAGTACATTTGAATTGGGAACAAAATAGAGTTTTATGAATTTTATAATAATATAATTGCAAAATATGTATTTTTTGAGTATCGTAATCGACTCTTAAAATATGTGCTCTTAATAATATACAAATAAATTAAAGTATTTTAAATATAGTAATACGTTATCATGCAAATTATAATAAATGTATATATATATATATATATATTAGGTATACAATATATATTATAGAGTGCAGAATTAAATTTAATAGGAAAAAATAAACGCTAGTCGTTTTTTTTTTTTTTAATCTAAGTCACGAGTTTCTGTAACTGGTCCAAAATCTTATCTAGTTCGGTGTGCAATTCGTCCATGTCCTTGTCGTCAGTTGGTTCTCTGGCATAGTCTCTGCTGGCGTTGAGCCACACCGACGACTGTTTGTTGACCGTAATGGAAATTTTGTCAGGAGACTTGGGCCCGCCGCCACCACCAGACGGCTTATTCAGGATGTCGGATAAGACCGACGATGGCGGTTCAGGCTCGGATCTGGCCGACACAGCGACGGAAACAGCAGCGTCGTTTTCTTTGTCGGTTTGGTCAGGTTTTTCGATATAAGTCCCGTCCAATTCTCGGTTATTGGCGGTGGCAATTTTCGGGCCCAACCAGTAAGAAAACTCGTTCGGTTCGGCGGCCAAACCTTGTGCAGCCGTCTTCTCGCCATACAACGTGCTGAGTGCATCCAGACCAGTACAGCTGTGCGTGGCGCGTGACGATGCCTCGGCAGAAAATATCGGACTCAGATTGACCGCGGCGATTCCGTCATCTTTACGGTCCAGTCTCGACACGATCAGCGGCGTGCTCTGCATACGCTTCATCTTTCCGCGTCCGAATGTACCRCTCAAATGGTTCTACAATATACATGGATACATGATAAGCTTTAATWTATTATTTTAATAAGTCGACAACACTATATTATTAATATATATTTTAACATCCATAAATTGACAATAGCCCAGAAGAGTTTTTTTTAAAATCAAAATCGTATGCAGTATCTCTATTCTATAATATTATGTGTTTACTAGTCACCCAAGATAACAAATTTGTTTTATCGTTCATTCGTTATGTATCTATTATTGGATTAAATAGATTATTCAAACTTAGTTATAGAAACTGGATAAGTGCTTGATACTAATAAGTAATAAGTAATAGTAACAGTAAAAAATATTAAGTATATCAACATAAACTATGAAAATAATTTTCAACTTTAAATAGATTTCTTAATTTAAAATCATAGTTAAAAACCACGTCAAGTAGCGTTTAGATAAATAATAACTCTGATATACAGACTGTACAGTACCTATAGGAGTTGGTACTGTAATGTAATTGTTAAATTTCAATTCAATGATAAATCATTGCATTTGATGAGAACCGGTTATAAGCAGACTATAATCATTTTTTGTAATCAAAGGTTATCAAACAATAATTTTAATAATAATTTTAGAACTTCAACAAATATTTGTATTTTATTTTTCATTTCCTTATTTATTTTGAAGTGCTGAGAATTTTCAATTTTGACGTCACATAAGTACCATTTAGATCCAATTAGCTAACAGAAACCTCATTAAAGTTAATAAGAAGATAATTAATTCTGCTAGAAAGTGTCTTCAGAATGAAAAATTTAAAAAATGTAGATAAGGATTCCTCTTAGCTGAACAGTAGATTCGTCAAGTGAGCTACAGTAATGATTGAAACAAAACCCAGAACAGGGTTAGAGTGAGTTTGGAGTCGTTTATGAAATCGTGTAGAAAATGACTGCCTCCTCAACTATTGTTTTCATATGGAGACCATTATGAAGAGCGTGCAGGTTAGAAATATATGGTGGAGCATTGGATAATCATCGGAGTGAAGTGTTTTGGAACGTTTAGATTCTGTTAGTATTAGATTTTTTGGCTGAACCCTACAGTTGAAGTCCTTAMATCCAGACTGGTTTAAGTAGCGCTTTGTAGGTTATTAGTTTGGTGTTTAGAGTGGAGTAATTATTACTAATTAGCAGAGGTTTGAGCATACGTATGTGATTTTTAAAGGTTAGTCGTTTGGTTTAGAGGTGTTTCTTCCATGTGAGTCTTTTGTCAAGGAATAATTCTAAATATTTAACAGTGTCGGATGTGTGAATTAGTACATTGTTGAGAATAATGTTTGAACATGTTCCTTGTTTGAGTGTGAATATTGTGTGTATAGATTTGTTTTGGTTAATTTTCATCCAATCAATCATCATACCACCTGGATTGGTTAAGAATGTAATATAGTATATTATACTTTTATCATATTATATT